GGCTCGAAGAAGAGCAAAGAAAGATGTGAAGGAAGCCAGAAGAAAAGTGAACAAGGAATTATATGTAAAGTTGGACTCTAAAGAAGGAGAAAAAGATATATACAGACTTGCTCGTCTTCGTGATCGTAGGATTCAGGATATCGGAAAAGTTAAGTGTGTCAAGGATGTCGATCAAGGGGTACTAATGGAGGACAAAGAAATTAAAGAGAGGTGGAGGTCATACTTTGATACCTTGTTCAACAGGAATAAAGTGCAATGTATTGATGATCTTACTATACCAGAGTGTATGGTAAATCGAGATTTCGTGAGAAGGATTCAAACAACAGAAGTTAAAGAGGCTATGAGAAAAATGGGGAGGAAGAAAGCAGTGGGCTCAGATGGCATACCGATCGAGGCTTGGAGAAGTTTGGGAGAGAAAGGCATCGAGTGGCTAACACATTTCTTCAATATGATTTGGAGAAAAAACAAAATGCCAGCGAGTTGGCGGAAAAGTACCCTCATTCCCTTATTTAAAAATAAGGGTGATGTACAAGAATCTGTTAACTATCGAGGGATTAAACTTATGAGTCACACCATGGAACTTTGGGAACGAGTGGTTGAGCAAAGACTTCGTAAGAGTGTGAAAATTTCGGAAAATCAATTTGGTTTTTGCCTGGACGCTCAACAACTGAGGTTATTCATCTTCTTAGACAAGTTATGGAGAAGTATAGAGACACTAAAAAGCATCTTCATTTGGTGTTCATTGACTTAGAAAAGGCATATGACAGGGTACCTCGAAAAGTCTTGTGGTGTGCCTTAACTAGAAAAGGCATATCACGTAAGTATATCAGTATCATCATGGATATGTATGATGCTTGTACTACAAGTGTCTGCACTAGTGTAGGGAGGACCGCAGAGTTCCCTATTACTATCGGAGGTGCACCAAGGATCTGCTCTGAGTCCTTTCTTATTTGTTATAGTCATGGATGAACTTACGAAGTCAATTCAAGAAGACATACCGTGGTGCATGATGTTTGCCGACGATATTGTATTGATTGATGAGATACAATCCGGTGTTAAAGAAAAGTTAGAAGTATGGAGACAGACATTGGAGAACAAGGGTTTCAGACTAATCCGAAGCAAGACTGAGTATATGGAGTGCAAGTTTGGTGGAGGTAGAAGTAGTAGCAATAGTGGGATTACTCTTGATGGTAAGGAGATACCGGTGTGTGATGTGTTTCGTTACTTGGGTTCCATAATTCAGAAGGATGATGAATTAGATGGAGATGTATGCCATAGAATCAAAGCTGGGTGGATGAAATGGAAGAGTGCTTCAGGATTTCTATGCGATCGAGGTATGCCAACTAGACTGAAGGGTAAGTTTTATCGAACGGCAATTAGACCTGCATTAAGGTATGGCGTGGAGTGTTGGGCGGTGAAGCAATGCCACATTCAAAAGATGAGTGTGGCAGAGATGCGTATGCTGCGTTGGATGCGTGGACATACCCGAAAAGACCATTTGAGGAATGACATAATAAGACAAAAGGTGAGAGTAACACCTATAGAAGATAAGATGCAGGAGTCTCGTTTGCGGTGGTTTGGACATGTGCGTAGAAGACCGGGTGATGCACCTGTTAGACGACTTGAGGGGTGGGGAGAAGAGGTAGAGAAGAGTGGAGGGGAAGACCCAAACAGACTTGGGTTAGAGGAATCAGAACTGATATGCCTCTCCTTGGGTTGGATGAGAGTATGGCTTTGGAGAGACCAAAGTGGAGGGCGCACATCCGTGTGGACGACTGATGTCTTTTCTACCTTTCCTCTCTTTCTTCTTTTATCGTTTATCTTCCTTACCTTTGTTTATTCTTGTGTTATTTTTATATTCTAGCTTCTTTATGATCTTTTTTTATCTTTTATCTTTCTTATATTCTTGTGTTGTTGTTATCTTTTATTTATCTTTATTTTATTCGTTTTATCTTACTTTTTTTCTCTTTCTTGTCCATCTTCTCTGCTTGGCATCGATATCATTGATCGATTCATGTTAGCCGACCCTAAATTCTTTTGGGATAAAGGTTTGAATGTTGTTGTTGTTGTTGTTGTTGTTGTTTTCTTTACGATATCGCCGCCTCCATGAGTTCTTCCCCTACGAACTCAAATGCAGCCATGGCATCATGATCCGCCATGAGCTTCCGCTACACGCAACCATAGTTACAACGGCGCCGGAATTTAGCAACATCTACTCCAGTACGACGGCTCAACAAGGCTTTTCTACGTCAATCTTTGATGCCTCTCTTCCAGACATGACGGGCTCGCCAGTGTTGCAGCCAACGTCGTCCACGTTGTTTGCAAACTTGCCGCCGCCACCCATGTTCTCTGCGGCAGAGCCTTATTCCCTGTTCCGCTCTCTACCGCCTCGTTTGCCGTGGAAGCCCGCTAGCGTGCAAAATCCGACATCAATTCCCCCACCCCACCGCTTCTCCATTTTTTGGGTCCACTTTTCCGACTAGCTAGGCGTTGTTCAGCCGTCGGACTAGTCCATCTTTGGCTCTCCAACGGCATCTCTTTCTCAGTCCGTTTCACATATCACTACTGTCTCGCAGATTGTGACCATCAAACTCAAGGCAGTACAGGACTACCTTACCTGACACACTCAGTTCGAATCATTTTTGATCTCTCATGATCTTTTTGGAATGGTTGATGGTTCCATTCTCGTACCCTCTGTGCATACTATCATTGGCTAAGAGACCAAACAGTTCATTGTTGGTTGTTTGCTACTCTCTCTAGATGTTTTGGTCGATGTTCATGATCTAAAACATTCTGCTGTTTTTTGGGGCTTCATACTAGATTTATGCTTGCTAGTTTATCGAGATGTATAGAACTTAAACGTATGTTGTCAAACATGAAAAAGGAAAAAACTCAATCTATGGAACATTATTTGAGAGACATCAAGAATTTGGCCGATTCCCTTGTTGTTATTGATTCCCCTGTCTCAGATAAAGAGCTACTTCAATCCATCATGAGTTGCATGGGTCCGGAGTATGAGTCCCTCTTCACTACTGACTCTTTATTTCCCGAGAATTTTCCTTTCAATATCCTGCAACTTTCATCTCCTGGAACAAGAGCGGCGTGTTCTCTATCAACGTCAACAGGAGACGGTTAGATATCAGACGTATGCAGGCTTGCAGCTGCTATCACTGATGGCCAACAGCACCCCGAGCAAGGATATCGCGGAAGGGGGGATCGCAGCAGAGGAGGCGCGGCCGCGGCAGAGGAGTACAACCGCAGTTTGGCGCACCACAACAGTATTATGGCGCCCAACCACCATTCGGCGGACAACAGCCACCACAACCTGGTCAAGGGTCCGACCAGCATCCAGCTCCGCTGCAGGGAGTGCCACATCAGCGTCCGAGTACTTCAGGTCAAGGGCGGAGCCAGGGCACTGGACCGGACTGGGTCGATACAAAGAATATTTTTGAAAAAAAAATTACACAGAATTTTTAACACTAAAAATATAGATATTTTTAAAATTTGGGTTGGGTTAAGGCGAGGGCTAGCCCTCCCCTAGCTACGCCCTTGCTTCAGGTTCTGCATGTAATTCAGTTGTGTCAATTTTAAATACTAATCCCTATTTTGTATGTAATACTCACGCTTGTTCTGCAGGCTTCCCATCAGCTGAGGGTATTCTTGGATATGTTCCGCCACCAGCAGTCTGTCAAATTTGTTTCTTTGCAGGTCATTCTAGTCTCTTAACAGTCCTTCCCGTTTTTGTCAGCCGTCTGCACCAGCTCTTGTGACCTCTAATGGTGACTCAAATGCTGCTCTATGGTATCCCGACTTTGGTGCTTCTGCTCACATGACTCCTACAGAAGGTATTTTAGTTAATAAATCACCTTATACTGGACCATTTTTAGTTAGTGTTGATAATGGTTTGAACTTCCTATTGTTAATATCGGAGATATTCATTTAAATTCATCTAGTCTTCCTCTCACGTTAAATAATGTTTTTCATGTGCCTCCGATTATATTTATTTTATTATCCATACAAAAATTTTGTGCTGATAACAACTGTGTGGTAATTTTTGATAAAAAATCTTTTTTTTGTTAAGGACAAAATTTCGAGGGGGTTCTTTCTTCGAGCACCTAGTCATGGTCACCTTTATCCAGTCAGCCTCACTCCACCGCCACAACTAGCTTTGTCATCTCTCACCTTGCCTGATCCTATTTGGCACCGTAGATTAGGCCACTGTGACGATTCTATTTTACGTACTTTACATATCAGCAACATATTTGTAGTAGTTCTAGTTTTTCTCATGAATGTATTTGTTTCCGTTTAGGCGAATGTCAATGTTTACCTTTTACGAATGCTAGTCACACTTGTTCTATTTCTTTGAAATTAATTCATTCTGATGTTTGGCAGTCTTATGTTTTATCAAATGTGTGTTTTATTGATGATTTTTCTTGCTTTACTTGACTTATCCCATAACCGGGTTGACCTGCCGGTCCCATTTGACCCATGATCCGATCATTCGTCCGGGTCGCTTCTCGATCCAGTTTTTACAACATAGTGATTTTCTATAACAATGCACTATTATCACTTTAAATTCACAAAAGTTCTTCGTATTTACACTTGTCATAAAATTCTTCATTATGAAAGTAGTTTATCGATATATTTCTCAAATTAATTCATATGAAAATGAGTATGATGAAGATAATGGGTGAACAAAATTGCATTCCAACAAGAAGGCGTGAACATCACTCTTGACCTAATTTGACAAAAAAATGAAAAAATGATTTTGTTCTGCACACAAACAAAATATGTACACGAATGGGTGTTTGGATTTGATTCTTAAAACTGCTTTTGCTCCTTCAGGGAGCAAAAACAGAAGTTGAAGTGTTTGGATAAAAATGCAGAAGTGATTCTGGTGCTCTAATTTACTCCTAGAATCAATTTTTTAAAAAATGAAGAGTGACCAGCTTCTTAAAAATGATTCTGATTATACTTGTGCTTTAAAAAAACAGAATTAGAGTCCTTCCAAACACCCAATATAAAATGAAAGGCTATACTTATTAGTCTGTGGCATTAGCCTTTGGAACAACAAAAAGTAAACTTTGAAGCAATTTTCCGGCTACAGACGACCAGCCTTCACATTTCCAGTCTCCACACATAAGTGATTGGGCAATCACTAGTCTGTGGCCTGACACGCCGCTCACAGACGAACTTCTCTAAGTCTGCATCTTTGCAACACTGATTGTATGTGATACTTACGAATTTCAAGCTTGATTTCTTAGTGCAATTCGTCGAATGAGCTATTTGTTGAAGCTAGGAGTTAGAAGGCAACTTGTTTGATTGTATGCCTGAAAGAGCCCGCTTTTGCTTCGTTTTGTTTGCTGCAGGGGCTACTCGACTATGGAATGTACAGTAATCCATTCGGTGGGCCAGGCAAGCTTAACATGGTATTTTTTGTATTCCATTGAGTTACTGTATATTTCTGCAAAGTGGTCATGTACTCATGTACTGTGTGTGAATCATAATTAAGCATTGGTTCAAATTTGGCTATCTTTAACGGTTTCTTTGTTGAAAAATTCCCACTTTACCCAAAAATGTGAAGGTTCAAGATGGAGAATTCCAACAGAGTTCAAGGGAACATACGTTCCTGCAACATAAGCAAGAGTTTTCAGAAGGGGGTGGTCAAATTACATCAAACATACAAAGGGAAACATACTACACAGAGTACCCCTGGGAGGATATATTGTAGCCCCATCAGTTTGGAGGAAGAATTTTCAGCTGTACAATCACGGGATATATCGAGGCTTGACGAATCTGGTTCTTGTGCTTCAAATGATGAAGACTATCTTGGCCGCCCTTTGAGTTCGGAGGAGGTAAATTATTGGGTCCATAATTTTGTAAAGAAAATGAGAAGCAGCTTGCAGAACTGTTTGTATGTAGGCCTCTCCTTAGCTGGCACTGCATATTCATTATGTATATTCCTTCCTTATCAAGTTTTCTGTTTTTATTTGTGAATACACTCTGCACACATGGAAAATTTCTTCTAATTACAAGTTCTATTTATGAATTCGCTTGTTGTGTATATATAAATTTCCAGTTCTTATTAGTTCGCTGAACTTTATATGATAAGGTCATATCCATTGCAGAAATCTTTAGGGCGCTCAACAAACATCTAGGCGTCCTTCCCTAAAAATATCTAATTTTAGAAAGGATTATTGCTAAGCGCCCTCAGGGTATTAGTTAAGAACCTAAAAGAAGTTTTTTTAATTGACAATTAGTCAATTACAGTACTGTGCACTTTTTACATGCTTCTATTTTTTCTATTTTTGTATCGCGATAAGAATATTAGAAATTGCTCTAAATAGGAGTAAAAACAATTTGGAATTCCAAAATAGAAGCACTATGTTTTTATTAGCTAAATAGGACTAATTACTGTCATGCTTCGAAAAAACTGCCAATTATGGTAGTATATTGCCATATTAAAGTTTGATAATGCCACAATATGGCATTAAATTTCAGAATGACCTTAAGTTACTCCTATTTAGTGAAAAAAGCATAGCACTAATGTTTTGAAATTTTACATTGTTTTTACTCCTATTTCAGGCATTTTCCCTAAAAACATCCACTCTTGATTCATAAAACAACGCCCTAAGGGTACTTGTTAGCATTTTCCTTTGAAGAAAACATTTTATTTGTAACTTAGGTGTAGTTTTCTGCTTTTTGTATAAAAATACAAAAAAGTGAGTATTTAACAGTAAAGTGATAAAGCACCTAGGAGCACCTAGCGGGCGCATAACAGGAATTCTTATTTGGCCTGATGCCCATATAAGGCGACTTTTATGTTTTCGCTTAGGCCCAGGCCTAGGCCATTGACCGTCATCTAGGCTGCTTATTTACAATTTTTTTTTAAGTTGGATGGTCAATCCGTCAATGGCATCGATTTCCTGTTGTTATAGTGTAAAACACTCATTTTCTTGTTTTTATTGTTTGTTTGGTAAAGCCATAAAGGCACCTATTGAACCTTCATTTCTAGAGACAGTGCTTCACTTTTCAAACTTCAACGAAGGTATGAAGATAAACTGCTTTGAAAGAGGAAATGAGCAACCAACTTGCACAAAAGTTGTTGAGAGTTCAGAGATGAAATTTATTAATACTATCACAGTATAAGGTGGTCATATTTGGATGACCAGACCTAATACTCTAAAATGTCGAACAGTTAAAGTTGCTGCTGACTGATTCTGAAAGATTAAAGGTTCTCAAGAAATTGAGTGAAGCAAATCAACAAAACAGGTTTTTCAAACGCCAGGTTTTCCTTTCTTTCTCTATCGGTAGAATATTTTGAAGTTTCTTACTCTATTGTACTAGTTTTCTTAAAGATGGTAGTTTAACATGATACAATAACTGTTTCACTTTGGAACAATTTATACTATAATACTGTAGTTGCAAGCAAGAGAGCACGAACTGGTTAGTTTCAAAAGGGAACTTGCAGTGATAGCACATGATATTGAGGTATGCATGCATCTCCTGTTGAGGTTTCTGATCCACACAATCTATAGTTGGAATTTAGCCAACATTTCATTCAGTTTCAATGATTTAGACCTTTTTATACATGTTGATACATTCTACATACACTTAAAGATTAGTTTGGTAAATACATAACATAGCTCCATGCTTCCGGTCTCTTTTTTTAAAAACAATGTTGTTTCCTTCTACAGCTCTACCCCTCTCGTTTAGATTACTTTTCAATCAAGTAATAGCTAATTGCAAAGAAAAGGTGCCGAAAGGCGGGGCCTACTAGCCTAGGCGTCAAATGGCCCACATAGTAGATCGGCGTGGAAAAGGCGGTCAACTTGATAGTTGACCGTCAAAGTTGTAAATAGGTTAAAGTTTTTTAGATAAATAGTTCTTTCAAAAGAAATAATTGGACTAAATTATTAAAAAAATACTTATGAAATATGTTACTTGTGTATTCTAATAATAAAAAGTAACAAGATATGGAGTATTATTTTGTACTTGTAGTTTTTTTATTTTTAAAAGCTATATATTCATTAGAGAAAATAAAAGTTATGCTCAAACTTGTATAATTTATTTATTTTGTTTAGATATCATTATAAATAGTAAATATTAATAAAATTCACAACGGATTTTCACGTCTAGGTTTGGCACAGTCTTGCCTAAGCTTCAAACGCTTGAGGCTTGGTCTTGACGTTTCGTCATGCTCCAGACCTCTTAGAACAGTGTCCAATATTTATAACTATTAAATGATATTTTTAATCTATACGCCTAATCTGGTATAACTAAATGGAGGGAGTATATCCTTTATGAAACAATTCGATGAGGTGATTATTGTCCATTACCATTTCTAATGTGTGAAGATAAATTGTTGCAAGGCTCGAAAGACGAAAAAGAAGTTCGAATGAGGTTTAGATGTCAGTGTGTGAATGAATGTTGTAATCTCTTTTGAAGGCTTTGGTCAGTTTGGCAGAAGAAATTGCAAAATCTAGCATCCCAAAAGGTTCTAGAAAGATTAATGGAAAGTATATTCAATCTCACCTCCTTTCACGTCTCCAAGGTACTAATTAGTTGTTTCTTTATAACGTACCTTTTAAACGCTCTGCAGAATTAACTTAGAAACCACTTTAACTAGTTTTAGACATATTTCTATAATTATACAGATAATAATCATAATAAGTATATGGGTTATATCTGCAGCCCCTGTTCATTTAATTTATTTGCTTGTCTAGTTAGTTTTTCTCTTCTTATGGTCACGATATCTGTGCTGAAAAGCTTTGAAGGGAAAACTAAAAGAACAGATAACGGATGTGGATGCTGCTCAACCCAAAGAGGTTCCTTTATTCTGGATGGGTATGGCAGAGGTCAGTTCGTGAAGAAATTCTTTTAATGTCTTCTTAGATTCTGTCCAGCACATCTGTTATACTACCTATCATTTTTGCAACTGAATAAGAAGAAACTTATAACTACAACAGCCAGATGTTCCCGAAAGATGCCACATTTGAAATGATTATATTGGAAACTGGTCCTTGTTATAAGCCACCTTTCAGAGGGATTCAGCGGTCCTTATTACAATATATCGTTTTTATTTTATTTCTGTGAAGCATTAACAGAGTCCATGTTTATTCATTAAAGTGTTCATTTATGAGTGAAAATAAATGAGGGCAATATGCCTTATAAGGACCATCCTGAGTGGGGAGCACATTTTCTGATCAATTGAGAAGGAAACACTATCCATGAACTTTTTGTGGTCTTATTTAGTTGTTTGTTCAGAGTGTGCAAGTAATGGGATCTTTTGATGGCTGGAGTCAAGGAGAAGAGTTATCTCCTGAGTACACCGGTGATTACACCCACTTTTCAACAACATTAATGCTTAGGCCAGGAAGGTATTTCCATTTTCTTCAACAACCTAGGTTTGCTACTTGCTTATCAATAGCTGGCTGGTTATTCTTGGTTGATCCACTTATGCTTTATAAAATATGATGAAGGTATGAGATCAAGTTCTTGGTGAATGGAGAATGGCAGCTATCCCCAGAGTACCCTACAATTGGTGAGGGATTACTGAAGAACAACTTACTGATCGTGGAATAGTTCCCCCAATTGGATGAGCTGCCATTTCTGCAATGCATAATAAACATCTCCTGTTTGTTTTAAGTGCACCTTTTCTAGCTTTTGTAATTTACCTGTCCAGTAAGTGTAAGATTTGGCTGAATGAGCTGGATTTGATGAGTGGCCGAGGTGAATTGGCTAAATGTTTTGTATATTACTTAAAAGGTATTCTAAAGAACAATATGTTATAAATAAAATAAGAGAATAACAAGTAGCTGAAAGTAAGATGACTTCTGATAACAGAAGAGGTTCTCCTATGATAAGTGTTTTACAAGCAAACTGTTTTTAAACTTTAATCAAGATTCAAGACCTCTTATAGAACTATATTGATCTGCTCATCTGCAAATGCTTGTCAATTGTCATCACTTTTGTTGATGAATGGGGGGAGCAAGTGGAAACTTTCCAACCACAACCTGCTCATACAAGGTGAACCATTGCCGCCTTGTTTATATATACACTGATACACATAAGGAGCTTTGCACTTTGCACCCAACCCCACTAGCCACTAGTCATTGTATTCAAAACGTTGGTTATGATTCCCATGGACTTGAGCCCCTGGTTACCAGTCATTCCCAACATATTACTGATTACATAATTAGTATTATAACTGATATATATATATATATATATATATATATATATATATATATATATATATATAGAGAGAGAGAGAGAGAGAGAGAGAGAGAGAGAGAGTACTCTTCCGGTCAGGAATTTCTGACCGGAACCGCCGCTCGGACGGCGGTGTTTGGGGACCTTCCCAATAATTTTTTTTGATGAAATTTTTATGCCATGTTCTTCATCAAGTCTAGTTTATCAGCAAAAATTTCAGCTAAAAATTCTTTCGGGAAGGCCGTCATATGTTTAAATCACAATATACATACATTTTTCACGATGTCAATCGCGATGTATTCCAGATTTTTGATGCGCAAGAATGGAAAAAGTTTTACTTCCAGATTCATATAAAACTTGTATGTATAGATGTTGGAGGACCTAGGGACTAAATCATCATCAAACCTCAGGATATGAATAGATTTGGACCAGGAAGAGTCCTATACACTCATAGAGTCATAGGTATATGGGTGGGTTGGGATTTAAAGTCAAGGATATTGACTACTACCATTTTCCCAAATAAACAATGACCTACAGTCGGGTATTTTCAAGTGTATATATATATTGATATATATTTCATAACTTGGGGGAAATGATTATACATGTATGTATCACACTATGTTTTGGGTCTTATACTTGAAATGTTAGTTATTCTATATTTAGCTTGCTACTCGCTCGATATTCGTGTACTAACCCCTTCGGGGGGCTCCCACCATTTCAGGTTGAAGCTAAAGGTTGCTATCCGTACCTTTGTTCGGCGGAGTGATCTAAAGGAAGACGTGATTTGTGCTTCCTTTAATGTTTTTTAAACTACAAACTATGCTCATGGATATTCATGTAGCGTATACATTGTTTTGGGCATGCGAGCCTCCGTTTTGGCCATGTGTGGCCAATGATTGATTATTGAATATTTTCGCTATTCATTCCATCTAAACTGTGATGTTGTTATGTATGTTTACTTACTGAGGAATTGTATGGACTATGTTCATGGACGCCTTATATGATTGAGTCACGTTGACTTGCGAGTGATGTCACTTGGTCATACGACGGTTGTACACGCACTTAGATGCGGCCCGGTTCGGCCCAATTCTCTATCTAGACCGACAAGATAGCCTGCCCAGTTCAATTAAGGTCGAGATTTGTTCCGATACTTTAAATGTTCCCTCCTTTAGATGTTTAATGTAATTAGATTGGGTTAGGCCTAGCCCCCAATCCTTTTCTTTTGTTTTTCTTTTATTTGTTGTATTTCTGAAAGAGTATACCCTTTCTGGAGAGGTATTGACCTAGCCCCCCTATTTTTTGTACTCAATAATAATAATAATAATAATAATAATATTATTATTATTATTATTATTATTATTTATATTATTATTATTATTATTATTATTATTAGCTCCGATCTATCTTTCCAACGAGATATAATACGCTCCAAACGATTAAACACACAACAAGATATGAGTGTCACAAATACTTAGTCTTATCTCTATGATTTAGCGTTTTCAGCGAAAATAGAGCACTGTTAGCGTAAATAAAGTTTATTTTAGTAATTAGGCATGCCTTCCGGGTTAAAAAAAAGTGAGAATGATACCACAAAACTGATTTGGAATAAGTTACTCCCTCCGTTCCATTTAAAGGTTCTCGTCCACTATTCACATGGTCAACTTAAATCATTCTTAACCTTTTGCTTTATATATCAAATTTTTATGAAATTTACATATTTTTTATCAGCCTTTGTAGCGACTTTAATGTAGTTTCTGAATACGTAAATTTTGTTTTCTAAAAATAATCGGAATGTGAACAAGGATCAAATTGCTTCATCGTCAGTCAAGCATCGTAAACTGAACCGGGAATCTCTATATGGGACAAAGGGAGTATATAATTTGATATACATAACGAGTCATAAAAGAGAAATTAGGTTGACAACGGGATAGTGAGTGTTAACCTTATTTTGGGACGGAAGTCACATGGGGTGTTCCTCAGTGGCGGTTGAATTGGAGCGGACATCCGAAGAAGGGAAGAGATGGCAGCGAAATGGCCGGAGGTGTTTCTCGGTACCGGTTGAATTGGAGCGGACATCCGGGTGAAGAGGAGAAGAGAAGTGAAGAGCAGATGGAGATGGACGGTTGAGATAGCAGAGCTCCGTTAATGGCCCAATTTTCACTGTAGGTAACGTAAATTTGAGAAAGAAACTGAAGAAACCGAAGAATATTTAATTACGGAGTATATTTATACGATGTATCTAGTATTTGGGAGAGTAGCGGGAAAACCTTTAGGGAGAAAGCTTCTTCCTTTAGCTATATATGATAACGACTGAAATAATGATTGTTTACAAAAATGTGAGTAGAGTAGTAATGAAATCATAATAAATTATGTTTAAATTAAATGTTAAACTTAAATTACAATAACACTACATATATTAAGGGTTTAATGCACCAAACCCCTCTGTGATATGGAAATTCGGCGCATTAACTCCATGTGATTTAAAAAATGCGTCAAACCCCCTTGTGTTTTAATTAATCATGCACAGAACCCCTTTTATGAATAAATTCAATTGTCAAATAAAAGAAAAATGATTAACATTTTTGTATGATTTACAGATTTTGACATATTTACTTGCATATTCAATCAGAATATTAGGAAAAGTGGTTCTCAAATCGTTAAATTTATTCATAAAAGGGGTTATGTGCTTGATTAATTAAAACACAAGAGTATTTGGTGCATTTTTTAAATCACAAAAGATTAATGCGCCGGATTTTCATATCGGGGGGTTTGATGCATTAAACCCTATATATTAATGATTAGTCACATTTGTGGGAATAAATTCTATTGTGGTAATTTTTTTGAAAAGTTTAGTAATATGATTAGTTTCTTTCATACAATACACAAAATTTTACTACATACTTCTAGTACAATGGAGTGTTACAAACTAAATACCAAGACGGTTAACCAGACCCGAGTTTTTCTTTTGATTTGGGAAAGAATGAGTCAAATGAGGTTATCCGATCCACCCTCGAGAGTCGGGTACGGTGATACTCCGACTCTTAAATTCATCTTCCTCCTCATTTTCATGGCGACCTGTTTTTCGCCTGCTCGTTCACTCCCCGCCTTTTATCAGCACATCTGCTTTAACCCCGCCTTTCTCTCCCATTCCCTTTCTCGCCCCAACCTTTTCCTTAGATCCCGCCCTTGTCACCTCTGGTCCCCGTCTTTCTCTCTCTGCATTCACACTCTCCGCAAGTCAACTTTCGTCCCTCGCCTTCCTGCTCGCAAGCTAATTAGCTCCGCCCGATCTTTATCTACTCCGGCGTCATCTACTGTTTCCGGAATGGCGGCGGCAGCGGTGACCGAAGACAATCCTTTGTTGAAGGAGTTCTATTTCCCACCGTTCGATTCCATCAACGCCTCGCACGTCCGCCCAGGAATTCGCGCCTTGCTCAAGCAACTCGTATGCTGTTTCGATATACGCTCCTGTGAATGTGTCATTGTGTTTGTGTGTGTTTGTTACTTGCTTCTGTAATACAAAGTTTGATGAGTTTTGACGGTCTAAATTTGGATGTAGGAAGGTGAGTTAGAGGAGTTGGAGAGGACAGTGGAGCCTACGTGGCCGAAGCTGGTGGAGCCATTGGAGAAGATCGTTGATCGGTTGGCTGTGGTTTGGGGTGCAGTTGATCACCTTAAGTCTGTGAAAGATAATCCCGAACTCCGCTCAGCCATTGAGGAAGTTCAGGTCAGTTTCTTATATCTCACTGGCTTGTTGCAGGGTTTTATTTGATGACTTAAGAGTTTGCAGACGCGGTCTTGGTCTTTGGAATTCTATAGCATACATATAGCGGTTTTACCTTAGCAATTTACGAAAATTTATTTCAGACTTCGCAGTTTTGAAGTTTTTGATAAGTTGATCATTTGGGTAAAAGTGTATTCTCTGCTGGTTATTTCTAGAACTCTGTCCTTCCCTCCTAACTACATTGTGTATCACTTACCTGCAGCCAGAAAAAGTTGCTTTTGCCCTGAGGTTGGACCAAAGTAAACCGATTTATAATGCATTTAAGGCTATTAGAGAGTCTCCTGACTGGCATGGGCTTAATGATGCTCGCAAGAGAATAGTCGAGGGTATGCATTCAGTTCGTGAAATATATATATTTTATTTCAATGGAAATTACTGCTTTCATGGATCATTGCCATCTTATGTTCTACACATCCAGCCCAAATAAAGGAGGCTGTGCTCAGTGGTATTGCCCTTGATGATGATAATAGAGAGAGATTCAATGAAATTGAGCAGGTAACCACTTAGCTACCTACCTACTTGATAGGCTCAGCTGTATTTAACTTGTTATAGGCTGCATTTCTGATTGACTTTGTACTTCACCATTACATTCCAGTATTCCACTCGTTCCAAGTTTGCATGACTACCTTTTACTTTGCTTTGCAGGATTTGTCAAATCTTTCACGAAAATTCGGAGAGAATGTCTTAGATGCTACAAAGAAGTTTGAAAAATTAATAACTGACAAGAAAGAAATTGAGGGGTTGCCAGCTACAGCTCTTGGTTTGGCTGCTCAGACAGCAGTGTCTAAAGTAATATACCTTTGTGTCTTCATTGTTGTCGACTTATTTTTTATGCGGCATGATATTCGGTTGTCTTTGCTTGATGGTTAAGTCT